CACACACACACACACACACACACACACACACACTTTCTCTCAGAGGAGAAGGTTTTGAGATTGAGTTTACCCGCCTTTGCCTTTGGGGTTGCAGGAGCCAGTAGTGTTCAAGGACGTGGCTGTGGTCTTCACGGAGGAGGAGCTGGGGCTGCTGGACTCTGCCCAGAGGCGGCTGTACCGGGATGTGATGCTGGAGACCTTCAGGAACCTGCTGTCGCTGGGTAGGGCCTGCACTCTGCCTGGGCACCAGCCCTCACACATCCACCGTGGCCCAGACTCTACACGACTGACATTCAGGACCAGAACTTTGTTGTGGGGTGTCCTGTGCTTGTTAGGATTTTGAGCGGCTTTCTTGGCTTCAGGACTCTTCAGTGACCAGAATTTTTTCTAGTTCCTTTGTAATATAGAGACAGAGTATTTCTAGTCTTTGTTCCATGGCAGACGTTTCCTTTTTAAATGAACAAGTGAACAGTTATGCTTGTCTGCAGCAGCTTCCTTATTTCATTGGCCTTTCTTAAGCCCATGTCATGAAATTAATGGGCTACACCAGCCTTTTTGTGATGATATAAAATATAGTAACTGTCACAGTGGAAGGCACACACAGGCTCACACAGTAGCAGCCGCTGCTGGCAGTAAAAGATCGGAGCCTAAAAACAGGTAATTGTTTTGAACTGGTCACTTTAATATTTTCAGTAATTGGCATGTGGCAGTAATATGTTGTACCTCTTGTGGTGGGTCCTGATAGAAAATGTCACACAGTCCTTTGAGGGTGGAGGCCTTCCATTGTGGGCTTGGCACCAAACCTCACACATTTTTGCCCATAATGTTTTCATTTAAATCTTTTCACAGGACCCCAGTTTTCTAAACCAGATCTGATATCCCAGTTGGAGAGAGAGGAAAAGCTTTGGGTGACCAAGGTCCAGCCTCAGAGAGGTAGGTAGGTAGGATGCTTCTGTCAGGTCCCCTGCAGGTGCCAGCCCATCAGCTGTCTCCCTTGGGTTACTGTCCTCCGCACAGCAGCCTTGGAAACATCAGCCCCTCTTCTGCATCACACCCTGCACCAGCTTCCCTTTTCCCTCAGAATAGAATCTAAAGGAGCCTAGACAGCACCATGGTGTTTGCTGATTCACCTGTATCACCATTTACATCTTTCTCCGGCCACCCTCTCCCCTCTGTCTCTGCCAGCATCGCGTTATGGCAGTTTCACGTCTGCATCTGCATCACCACCTCCTTCTTTCCTCCGCCTGGAACGCTGTCCCACAGTGCTCCATCACCCACGTCCCCTCATCCCTGACCTGGCGCAGAGCTGTGCTCAGCTCTGCTCTGAAGTCTTTACCTGGTTTTGGTGTTAAGATAACACTGACCTCATTGAATGAGTTAGGAACTACTCTGTGTCTGTCCTCTGAATCAGCTTGTAGAGGAATCAAAATTTCTCTTAAATGTTTGATAAAATTCACTGGTGAACTCACCTGGACTGGGTACTTTCTGTTTTGAAAGACTAGTCCTCCTTCTTCAAAAGCCAGAGCCTTATTCAGGGGTCTGTTGCTTGCCTGCGTTTTGGCCGGATGCCTTTAAGGATTCAGACCTTTCACCTGCGCATTCTAATTTGTGCTCCAGGGGCTAGTGCAAGTGTCCCTTTCACTTTCTGCAAATGTCAGCATCACCTGCAGTGATGTTGCCTTTTTCATTTTGGATTCCAGAAATTTGTGTCCTCTCCTGAACTTAGTTAGGGACTTAATTTTTATTTTTTTTTTTTCAGAGTAGCCTTTGGTTCTGTTGATTTTCCTCTTGATTTCTGTTCTAACATATGTTCCTGTTACTGATTTCTTTCTTAATTGCCTTGCGGTCTGACAGCAGGTATTGTATGCTTTCTACTTTTTGAAATTTGTTAAGGTGTGTTTCCTGACCAGATGTATTTTGTCTTAGAGATTGAGAAGAATGTGTTGTTCCTGGGCGAAGGGGCCCATGATGTCAGTTCTGTTCAGTGGATTGATGGTTCGGCTGTGGCCTTGTTGCCTGCATCCTGGGCCTCGCGGGTGCCAGCCACAGCGGAGAATTAGCGGTTCTCCTTGGGTTAGCTGTTAACCTTGCCGCATGTATTTGATGTCCTAGTTCAGTATATACATGTGAAGGGTTAACATCTTGGAGAATCAACTCGGGGATATAAAAGCCCTCTTTGGCATAATCATTTTCCCAGCTCTGAATAAACGAACATAACTGCTTCTGCTTTCAGTCTGTGAGTGTGAGCATGAATATCTTTTTCTGTTTCTATTACTCAATATGTGTCTTTACATTTCAGGTGGTTCTTACATAAAACAGTTTGTTGTTATTTTTTGTTCCATTCTGACATTTTAATTGGTTTATGTGCCATTGACACAGACATTACCTGTAACACTGGGTCCCTGTATACCATATTCTCTGTTTGCTATTACATCCCCTGTTCTCCCAGTCGGTTCTTCCATCCCTTGTTCTCTGCTCCTGCTCCCCCTGTCCCTGCTCCCCCTGTTCCTGCTCCCCCTGCCTGGTCCTTCTCCTGCTCTGCTAGGAATAGGGTACCAAACAATTCAGACCTCCCAGATTTCTATGCGGTGATGACCTGCAATTCAGTCTGCCCCCTGGTGTATTGGGGGTGCATTCCCATCTGGAGTGGAGCAGGGTCAGAAACTGCTCCCATCTCCCAGCATATTAGGTTGATGACCTTCAATACGGTCAGTCTGCAGTCTTCCTGTAGGTGAATTCAGTCTGCTCCAGCAGCAGGGCAGCTGAGCAGGGGAGGGCAATAGCAGCTCAGACCTTCTGGAGTGTTTGGCTTCGGTCACCCGCAGTGCAGCCAGTGACCCCTGGGGTACGCAGCGTCTCTGCATGTTGTGTAGCGCGGAGGAGCCGCAGCAGGGCGGTAAACCGCGCACACCTCCCCTAGGCTTGAGGCCCCAGTGCTGCTGTCAAGTCCTTTAGTAAGTGGCCTTCGGTCTGGAGTAGGAGCAGGGGAGGGGCGGGAGCAGGTGATAAACAACTAGACATGAGCGCTTGTCACCTGCAGAGCAATCGCTGTTCCCGCGACCTCTGGACGTTACAGGTGTTCTGAAATGTGGGGTTCTGCCTCCTCCTATTGGGGTTTCTGTTAGATAGCAGGGTCATGTGGCAGTATACTCTATAGATGAGTACACGGCTCAAATTTTACAGAACAATGGCAATCCGTCGAAGATGTGGCCAGGGCAGCAGGGCTCTCTGCAGGCTGGGCAGCAGGTGGCCGCGGTGATCAGCCTGGACCCACAGTGCAGCAGGCTGCTAGGGGAGGGGCAGAGAGACCCTGGGTTAGCTAGTCCCTGGGGGTCCCCTTTTGCCCAGTGATGAAGCCCCTGGGTTTGCAGGGGGTAGATGGAAGCTGGTGGTGAGAAGTGACTGGGTGAGGCTGGGAATGGAGACTTCAAGCTCCGCTGCTCTTGGCTGGGGTCTGTCTGGGCCCTGACTCAGTTCTGTGCCTGCCCTGTTTTGTGACTACTTAGCTACCTTTCATTTCGGGGACTGTTTTGAAACCAGCAGTCATGGGGACATGGGCTTGCCATTCAGCTTTCTCCCTCAGGAGCCTAGAGGGAAGGAATTCCAGAGCTCTTAGCCCTTTCTCTCCCTTTCCCTGCAGAGGCCATGAGCTTTGATTCCTGCTCCCCAAAGTGTGTGCAGCTTGAAGCCCAGGAAGGAACCGTTTACATCCTGACAGCTGTGCCCAACCACACCTGGTGTCTTAACACTGGCAGGTTTCCTTTTCTAAAACGAGAGAGACTGTGCCAGCCTGTCCGGTGCCGACTCGGTGCTTGTCATGTGACTAGTTTCTTAGCCCCAAACCTGCCCTTTTACCTTATGTTCTGGGGGTGCTGGGATCCCAGAATTTCCATAGTGTGTTCACTATACTCTCTCGCCTACATGCTCCTACCCTTCCCCCCTCCTCCCTAGCTGAAGTGGGTGTCAGTGCCTGCTGTTTATAACTGTTTGCCTTGACAGCTCACTGACTTTGATTTCTCATTTTACTGATGTGTGTGAAGCCCTGTGTGGCTACTTTCAAAGGAAAATGAATACCCGTGAGGCCCGCCCCCGTCCTCAGGCTCCCTATTCCTGTCACACTCCCCTGTCTCCTGTTTTGCCTGGGTCTGCAATCTTCCCTCCCACCCCCTGCAGGCCTGATGCCAAATCTACACTTCTTGGTGCTCAGACAGACAGGACGAGCTCCCGTCCCTAAACCAGCCAGGACACAGCAGGGAAGCTCTGGTCTTTCACCCCGAGTGGGCAGCCTTCTCCCTGCATCGCCAACCTTCCAATCAGCGAGCAGAACCTTTAGAAAGTCGTGTCTTGAGTGTAGCTTTTCTTGGTTAATGTTCTCTTGGCTGCTACAGCTTCTTGGCTGTTTTTAAAGCTATTTTTGTCTTTGTTATTTGCTGTTGTACCGGGAACAAGAGCTGATTCGCTTACTCCTGTCTCTTAAGTCTGAGCCTTATGTTTCTTCCTGGAAAGTTTGTTTCCGCCACTGTATTTTCTTCCTTTGAGTGGACTGTATTTTCCTGGTTTCTTTAGGTGTCTGTTTTGTTGTTGAAAGTTTCCCCTCCTCCCAGTGCTTGCCAGTGGGCTCTGTTCTGGGGAAGACCTCCATTAGTTTACCAGGGGTGCTCTAAGCTTTGGGGTCTGCCCAGCTTGAGGCATAAGGCCTCAGAACTTTTCTGAACATGCATCTTTGGGCTGTTTTGTCATTATTGCTACTATCACATATATGGGCATGTTTTAGTGTGGGATTATTTCCCAGCTTCTTTTGGAGGACTCAGCTGCTGTAGTGTAGCCCTTTACCCGCAACCTCTCCCTGGGCATCTGTGGGCTCTACTCCCAGCTGCTACCCTTGCTTCTGCCTTTCTTCAGACCACAGCATGACTGCAAATGCCAACACCTTTAAAATTAACTGCCTGTAGCAGGTAAAGGGCAGAAGTACAGACGTCAACAGGGTGAGACACATGCTCGGAAGAGACAGGAGAAGCTCTTACCCCTTCATTTCTGGGCTGATGCTGACTCTTACCACAAAACGTGTCTTCCTCTTGAGTGGTGGTTCTCTTGGTGGCTGCTCATCTTCAGTATGTCCCCAGGGGGCAAAGGGTTTGACGCGTCTCACTCACCAGCCACCTTGTCCATGTCACTCTCTGCCCTTAGTCCCTGTTCTTTTCGTCCTTCCAGGAGGTCAGCATCAAGATGAGATGGAGATGCTTCCAAGAGAGGGAATAGAGTGCCTTCCCCTGGGAGAGCTTTCGTGCTGGAAAATCAAGAGACATGATGTACACAGATCAGCCAGAAGTCAAGACTTCATCAGAAATAATCCAGAAAAGAGGTCTCCATTCCCTAGACACGACTCCTCTTGTCAGGTGGGAGGAAGAGGATCTGTTCTGGTTTCTGTGGATGACTGCTGCTTAGTGAATCCTATAGAAGATCATTCCAGTAGGATTGAAAATCAAGACCTTCCAGCTGGGAAAGCTCAGAATTCTTTGAGTAACATGTACTTGAATGAGACACAGAATTACCAGAGTAGCTGTCAGCAGACTCAGACGAGGAACAACTTATGTTTATTTGCTCCATGTGTTGACATTGTCAGTCACATTTCACACCACCATGGTGGTGATCCAGTGCATGAAGGAGAGAAAACTCATGACAGTGACTGTGATAAAGACAACTTAAAGGCATCACCTCTTGCCCAGTCAGGTACAGCTTGTACAGACCAGAAAAGTCACCCATGTGGAGAATGTGAGAAAGCATTCAGCGATGGTTCTAGACTTGAACTTCACCAGCAGGTCCACATGGGAAAGGAGTCCCTGACATTCAGGACCCAAGAGAAGGATGCAAGTTACCGCTCTGCTGATGCCCTTCAACATAGTGTCCACACAGGGAAGAAACGCTATTGGTGTCATGAGTGCGGGAAGGGCTTTAGTCAGAGCTCCAATCTGCAGACTCACCAGAGGGTCCACACAGGGGAGAAGCCTTACTCGTGCCTTGAGTGTGGTAAGAGCTTTAATCAGACTTCACATCTGTATGCTCATTTGCCTATTCACACAGGAGAGAAACCTTACAGATGTGACAGTTGTGGAAAAGGCTTCAGTCGCAGCACAGACCTGAATATTCACTGCCGCGTTCACACCGGAGAGAAACCTTATAAATGTGAGGCATGTGGGAAAGGCTTCACTCAGAGATCACATCTTCAGGCCCATGAAAGAATCCACACTGGAGAGAAGCCATATAAATGTGGAGATTGTGGCAAACGCTTTAGTTGTAGCTCAAATCTCCACACCCACCAGAGAGTCCACACTGAAGAAAAACCATACAAATGTGATGAGTGTGGGAAGTGCTTTAGTTTGAGCTTTAATCTTCACAGTCACCAGAGAGTACACACAGGAGAGAAACCATATAAGTGTGAAGAGTGTGGCAAGGGTTTTAGTTCAGCCTCAAGTTTCCAGAGCCATCAAAGGGTTCACACAGGAGAGAAACCATTTCGATGCAATGTGTGTGGAAAGGGCTTCAGCCAGAGCTCATATTTTCAAGCCCACCAGAGAGTCCACACTGGAGAAAAACCATATAAATGTGAAGTGTGTGGGAAGCGCTTCAACTGGAGCTTGAATCTTCATAACCATCAGAGAGTCCACACAGGAGAAAAACCTTATAAATGTGAGGAGTGTGGTAAAGGTTTTAGTCAGGCTTCAAATCTTCAAGCTCATCAGAGTGTCCACACTGGAGAAAAACCATTCAAATGTGATGCATGTCAGAAGCGATTCAGTCAGGCCTCACATCTTCAAGCCCATCAAAGAGTCCACACCGGAGAAAAGCCATTTAAGTGTGATACTTGTGGTAAGGCCTTCAGCCAGAGGTCAAATCTGCAAGTTCATCAGATAATCCACACTGGAGAGAAACCATTTAAATGTGAGGAGTGTGGGAAAGAATTCAGTTGGAGTGCTGGGCTCAGTGCTCATCAGCGGGTCCACACAGGTGAGAAGCCCTATACTTGCCAGCAGTGTGGTAAGGGCTTCAGTCAGGCCTCACATTTTCACACACATCAAAGGGTCCACACTGGAGAGAGGCCATATGTATGTGATGTCTGTTGTAAGGGCTTTAGTCAGAGATCACATCTTGTATACCATCAGAGAGTCCACACTGCAGGAAACCTGTAGAAATGTGGGCTGTGGTATAGCTTTCAGCCGGGTAAACATCTGCATCTTCATTGGAAAGTCCCCTCATGACTCAAAAGCTTTAAGAACTCTCCATGGAAAAGCAGCTCTCTTACAGTGCTATTTAAGCAGTTCTTGTTAGGACATGAATTATTTACAAAGTCAGATCACAGATAAAACTGGTGTCTTCTATAAATATGTTCAGTGTTTATTTACACCAGAGTTCCAGATGTCCCCATTCTCAAGACATGGCACAACAGGAGACTTGTTCTACTGCGTCTACCTAGGAGAGAAGCCTTATAAATGAAGATTAAGATTATGGTTAAAGCCTTTAAAAGCATGAAGATAAAATCAAAGTCGACTCCAACGGAGGCTCCCTGTGGGAGTGTGTGCCCACCACTGTATCTACTATGTAGAGCTCTGCTTGGCTCACAGCAGGTGCCCATCAGTGACTGCATGAAGTGGGGAATTTCACATTAGGACAAATATTTCAGTATCCTAGCTGGCTCCTCACCCTAATTTCACAGTAACTTAGACTCAGAAGAAATCCTGCAAGTAGCCGTAATAATAATTTCAAGACAAAAAAAAATCATGCATTGCTGTCATTCACCACAGTACAAATTTTGACAAGACTTGTGAATGGCTCCCAGATGCTATTCTGTGTCGTCAAACCATCTTAGCAAACAGTGCTGGTGTGATGCATAAGGGCCCTGTGGTGGGTCCTAGGGCCCGTTTCAGTGCCCGCTGCTACAGACCCTGTGTTGTTTTATTTAATACAACAGAATGACCTTTATCGTGAGTGGGGCCAGCTCCTGCACTTGCCCTCACTTGCCCATGCAGTGGGGGGACAGAAACCATTCTGTGTACATTGTACTGTTCTTTACATACAGAGTAATATTTTATCATTAGTTTGTACTTTATAGACTGAAAAATACTGTTTTATATATGACATTGCAATTTATGATTCCAGATTTTAAAATCTAACTCACTAAGATAATCTAACTCCAGCGAAACCATTACATTTAATGAAATTTCAATCAATTGAATAGCTGTTTTTTAAAGATTATATATATTTATTTTTGTGTAGAAGAACTGGGGTATAGGCAAGAGGTATTGGGGGGGGTGAGAGGATTCCTAGAAATGGAGGGAGGGCAGAACAGGCAGATTCACTGAATTATGCTGAGGGGAACAGCAGGCGAAACAGGAGAGGTCTGCTGCGCCCTGTGGGTCAGCTTGGGGGGGGGAGGGGCAAACTCAGGCAAGGCTGTGTGGGTGATAGCACTGATTTTTAACCTCTACGCTACCAGAGAGGCCCATAAATCAATTTCATTCTTCCCCTACCTCCATTTTAGGGAGGAAAAGCTAAGGAGCAAAAAAAAAAGCCCCAGAGGGCCCTCAAAGCCATATATACTTGAAAGGAAGGGGAAAGATGTGCAAACAACAAAGAGACCTGGCGTGGTGAAAACACACACTCCAGGAGGAAAATTATGACTGTCTGTGGAGGGTATTTTATGATCGTAAAGGGGTCAGTCCCATGGAATTTTCATTTTTACTGTATGTCTGAAATTTTTCACAGTTTGATGTTAAAACAAGACCTGAAGGACATAGCAAATGAGAGAAACCACAGGTGAGTCAAACAACAAACCATGTGATTTATGATGGATAAAATGTCAGAATAGTGATTTTGAAGGGGAGGAGGGAAGTTGGATGTGGGAATACCCTGGAAGGGGTTTGATGAAGCGCTCTGGGATAACTTTATCTTGATAGGAGTTCGGGTTACACACATACTCGGGTCTAGGAGGCATTGAATACTTTGCTTAAGATATGTCCATTTCAATGTATGTACACTTTACCTTAAAAGTACAAGTTAGTTCTGTAAAAAAATACTGAACAGTCTTGTTAATCATATATATATACTGGAATAGTTGAAGTATCTTCAGCTTACTTTGAAATGCAGTAAGATATAGAATACAAAGCCTTAACACTCACATTTTCAGATTTCAAAACTACTTCAAAGCAAAGGTTCAGATAATGTGGAACTGAAATAGAGGTAGACACTGTGGGTCAATGGGATGGAGCTAAGAGTCCAAGAATAAAACTTTTACGTCCATGATCAACTGATTTGTGACCAAATTAGTTGGTCAAAACCAATGCCAAGACCAGTAGGGGAAAGAAGAATCTTTTCAACATGTTACTGGATTAGCTGGATAGTCATATATAAAAGAATGAAACTAGATACCTCTCTTTTACTAGGTACAAAATCAGTTCAAAACTGATCAAAGATAAACATGTAAAGATCAAAAGCTGTAAGAACTGCCAAAGAAAACAGGTAAATCTGTATGACCTCTGATTTGGGAATAGAGTCTTGGAAAATTAACAACAAAACAGGTGTATTTGAGTTTATAAAAATTTTGAAATTCATGCAAAGGACACTAAAGTAAAAAGACAACCCACGGAATAGAGAAAATGTTTACAAATCATGTATCTGACAAGGTACTTGAATCTGAGATCTGTAAATAACTCTTACAACTCAATAATATTTAAGCCAAGAAAATTAAATTGAGATTAGTCACCAGGAAAACCCAAGTCAAAATCACAGTGGTATATACTACTATATACAAGGAAGTCTTTAAAAAAAAAAAAAAGTGATAACATGCTGAGAAGAATGTGAAGAAATGAGTGGGAGTGGAAAATTTAAAACCTCAGCAGTTGTCCAAGTGGTTAAATAGCATCTGATCCAGCCATTTCACTCTACCTAAGAGAAATACCCAAGAGCAAAGCAAATGTCTTTGCAAAAAGTGTACGAACTTTTATAGCAGTTTCATACATAATAGTCATTCTCCAGCTTGGAAACAAGCTGCACTGCTGTGTCCCCCTGCTGCTCCCTGCCTGCTCCTTAGATCCCCACATCACCCTGAGGAAAGTGTGAAGGGGAGGGTGGAGAATGTGTTGCTCACCAGAGTGGTGCTGGGGCCAAATATACCACCTGCCCACCTTCTAGGGGAGCCCTGAGGGTTGAAGAGGGTGCATCTATTGCCTCCTGGGGCCAAGGACCTTGTTTCCCAGCAGCTGCAAAGCAGATGCTATTCTGCATCATCAAACCATCTGCTACAGACCCTGTGTTTCATTTAATACAACAGAATGATCTATTATGAGTGGGGCCAGCTCCTGCACTGATGTCCACCGCACCTCACTTGCCCCTCCAATGGGGGGACAGAAGCCAGTCCACAACCCTCCCCACCTTCTGTTTGTGGTAACTGATCCCCTAGTGTGACACAAAGTCGCCTTGTATAAGCATGCAACTCTGAGGAAATGGTTTTGGGCCAATTACACAAAGTTGAAAATTCAGGAGTGGGACAGCAGTAACTGGAGAACACCTAAGATAATCTTTAAGGACAAACTACTTGGCAGTGACTCTTCTGAAATTCTCTCCGTGTGCACAAGACTGTAACAGAACCATACCTACCTGCCGCCTCTCCAGGAACAAGGAATGAGAACTAGCGGAGGGCCATGGGCAGAGACATGCCCACAGGCCACGTGACCCTGCTGAAAGATCCTGAGAGCAGGCAGAGGAGGCTCAGCAGAGAGGAAGCAACTCAGCACTGACACTCAAGAACGGCCCAGCTCTTCTCAGGAGCACTGGGCAGGCAGCAGATGCCATGGAGCGCCCCCCCCGGCCCCCACTAGTATGTGGGCACAGGGCATGATCCATCCAAAAATTAAAGTAGATACATGTAGCAGACTAAATGGTTTGCACTCGCCTCTGATACATATCTAGGGAGTTTACAGCTTGAGCTGCAAGTTCGCAATGTGCCTTAAATGCTGTACATATGTAGTGGTTATAGAACAAAAGAGCAATCTGGATATAGCATTTTTGGTGGAAACTGAAAGCCAAGACTTAAGTTGCCAACTAACTTAGAACTTCTCAGGCTATGGGGCTACCAGAGCAATTTCTAGAAATGAAAGGCCCCACTCTCTATTACTAGGAATTTCCCCTGCATGCCATCACTGACAATTGCACATAGCCTCCCTGTTGGAGTTATTTAGGACCTCAGTAATGCCATCGCATTCAGGGAGCTGGGGAGAGGAAAAGAACATACTCTCAAGATTTAAATTGGCAAGTGAGAGTCCAGAACAGGAGTCTTGAGGTATGATTTGGTTGGCTGGAAGTGATAGAAGCATAAAGGGTTACAGGAGGAAGGATGTGTGAAGCAATCATATAGGGAAGGAGACAATAGAGGTGGTTCGTGCTCTAGAACAACATTGGCACTGTTCTGTAGCCAGAAGACTACAAGTGGCACTGGGTCTGTAGCCAGAAGACTGGAGTTCGGGCCACCTGTCATCACGAATACCAATGAAGTGGGGAGTGGGAAGAAATCAATCCGCATTTCATGTCCAGCTGGCTTCTTACAGTGAGTTGAACAGTAAGCAGGCCTTCACTGCTGCCAGGGGCTGGTGATGTCCAGCCCCTGGAGCTCCTTATCCTGGACACCTGGCCTCACGCTCACCCCAGCTGGCCTTCAGTTAGCACTGGCTCCCTGCACGCCTCCAGACGTGTCCCTGGACTGGAAAATTAACTCGGAGCAGACAGGCTATATACAATGTATGCAGATCTCCTGCTGTACTGTGACCAGTGTCTTACCCGATCTCCTCCCCCTCCCTCGCCCTTATGAAGTCCACCAGAGATCTGGTTTTCGTTCACATTTCAACTCCATAGTGAAAATTCTATGAGATATATTCCAGGATCCAGGAAACTCACTCCAGGTATTCAGGGAATATTGACCTTTTCGCCCAGGAAGACGGACGTTCTCCCTGTTGCCCCGTGGCACTACAGAAAGGGTCGTCCCGGACCCCCTTGTTGCCGCAAACAACTGTCCGACCAAGGGAGCACAGTGTCCTTCGGCCTCCCGGGAAGTTTACGGAGCTCTGTGAAGTTACAACTACCTGGCGGTGTGGGGGCGGGGCCGCGGGCGCCCGCGGTGCATTCTGGGAAGTGTAGTCCAGGCTGGGGGATTCTGGGAACGTCGCTGCAGGACCGCGGTAGCGGCGCCTCGGCTCGCGGCGGGCCAGACGCTGTGGCTCCCGCGTCCCGTGAGGGGTGTCAGTCTGCGTCCCGCCACCCGTGCGAACCTCCTCGCCCCGCGCTCGGGTCAGAGCAGCGCGGCTGTCGCTCTGGGGCGCGGCCCCCAGTCTGCCGTCGGGAGGCCGGTCGGCCGCGGTGCCTGCGCCATCGCGGTGGCGGCGACAGGTGCGTGGCGTGAGCGGCTCCGGGCGCGGGGGGACCGGGCGGCCTCTCCCGGGGGCTCCTGGCGGGGAGCGCGGCTGGGGTGGGCGGGGCCGGTGGCGCCCGAGCTCGGGTCCGAGGGCCTCCTGTGGCGACGTCGGGCGGTCCGCGGAGCTTGCCGGGAAGGGAATGTTCTAGAATGACGGTACCGCGAGGTGGCCCCACTGTCTCGGGCGCGGCTTGCGCGTCCCGGAGCGGCCCTGGCGCTCGGCCTGGGCAGGGGAGAGGGCGACCCCTGACAAGACTCGTCAGTCCCGCTCGCCCGTTTCCAGGCTTCAGGCAAAAGGACTAGGCGCCTCCCCCCACCCCACAACCATTTTCTAGAATTTATGGCTCGGGGAGACATAGTGCACCCGTGCAGGAATGAGACGGATAGTGGGGGGGAGGTCACCGAGCCCCGAGTTAGTGACCAGAGATGCCCCGCTGCAAGCCTCGTTCCTTAGATTCCAGTGCCCGGGCCTGACCGCGGAGAAGCAGAGCGCCCCTCTGGGCGTCCCCCACCGCGGCGCAGAGGCCGCTCTGCACCTTGGGGTCAGGGCCTCGGGCACCGGCAGCCCGGAGCTAGGAAGAGAGAAAGGGAGGCCACTTCGGTGGACCTGGCCGCGTTGGCTTGTGGCGACCTTTTGATCTGTAACTTTCATGCGGAATGTAAGCCCTCGGTCAGGGTGTGGGTGCTGCAGATGTCCTCCCACCCCGGTGACACTTCTCCACGGCCTTTATGCCCTGTCTTTTGCATTGTCAAGTGAAATTTGATGC